TTTGACAATTGGCTGCCTCCATGAGACCTAGGAGTACAGATGGAAGGCAGCTTGCTCAGGTGCCAGCCTGTCAGTTGGATTAAAATGACTCATTTATTTACCCAAGAACCTCACAAAGTGCTTTTACTAACAAGGAGAGGGGGCCTGCCGGCTCTCTGAGCAAGGGACGCAGCAAACTCGCCTCTGACGCCTTCCTGGCCTGCCAAAAGTCATTATTGCCGTGTGTGGAAAGCCATCAGCAGGGTACAGGCCCCCGTTGTCCGGGTGACAGATTGGGCTGCGTAATCAGAGGAGGAAGGAGAGAGTGCAGAAGCTGTCAGAGGCTAGAGATCTTGGCTGGAGTCGCCAAAAAACTGGCAACATGAGTTAGCGTAACTGAGTAAACAGCAAACAATCTCCAAATGATCTTCCCATTAAAACAAATGGAATAAAATGGAAAAGAGAAACTTTACCTAAAAAGTGAATGTACATCCCAGACATAAGTGAGAAAGCCTAAATTTATTTGGGCCATGAGCTGACATTCTTCTGACTCTGAAGGCCTCCTCTCCTTTGTCTCCTTAGCTTCCTGGCACGGTGCAAATTCCCCAGGAGGAGAGGAAATTAAGAACTGCACAGACATAACAGTGTGCTTGAAGCAGGAAAGAGAGAAGGAAGGTGAAGAGAGAGCAGCATAGGAGATTCTGGTATCATCTGAAAAAGAAGTGGGTTCCAGCAGTTAAGAAGGTGTATTCCAATGGCTAATTAATCAGCAAGACCTGGGCAGAACTGGAAATCTCTCTGTTCTCCAGGGGAAAGGTTACAGTATCTCATTTACATAGGGACAATCAGAGAGAGCACAGGTATCAACAGTCTTTGTTAGCCTTAAATCCAGAGGGGAGGGGAGGAGGTTGGGCAGGGAGAAAAGTGCAACAATGAGTGAATGGAAATCCAAAGTCTGTGTAAACTCTTATTAAAATTAGTAATAATACTAATAAAAAGAAGAATTGTAGGTTAAAAAAATAAAGTAAGAGAAGGCAGGAAAAAAAAATCCAGAGGTAGTTTGAAAATACCATTTTCCAGTCACTAGGTATAATTTATCAGTTTATAAATATAAAAATGGTATTATAAAACCTGCTCCCTTCCTTCAGCTTAGCATGAGTCCCTCACTACAAGTAAGAGAAAATTATTATGTTTTAGATAATCTAAGGTCTTAGCTTATTCCTCAGATTTCTTCATTTCTTTTGGGAAAATGGGCTTTGAACTTTCAAATTATTTCCAAATGCTAACACCGACGGGACAGCTTTTCCCTAGACCTAATTTTCCAGGACACACAAAATTGTGTTTTAGATGTGAGATGACTTTTCATTTTTCACAAACTAGTATATTCTGCTTCAGTCATTTTAATATTGCCTCCACTTCACTGTGTATTTTTAACCTCTACATCATCTCTTTAAGGTTAAGCATTTATTCCCACAGTAAACAAATCTCTCTATGAGGTTCAGATAGAGTTGCATAAAATTAAGAAAGGTCCTTCTTTTAAGATGCTTACAGGATGAACAAAACCACATGTACATCCTTAACTGTTACTACCAACAGAAAAGACGAAGAAATCAGGGAGGATAACAGGAGGAGGAGGAAAATATCTAACTATAAGAAAAACTCCAACAAACAAACCACAAACCACCACCAAATTCCTAATTATAGGCTTTTGTGTAGTTACACTATAATTCCCAGATTTTCCTATAGATGCTCAATCACCCAGACTTGTTAATAGGACTTTAGAATTATAAATTAAAATGGCAAAAGGTATAGTATAAAGTGGGAAAAGTCCCCACACAACAATTAACAACATGACTCCTCTTTATCAAAAGAAGCCAGTTCTCCATCTGCCTTGTCCTGACGTGGCCCTCGTTCCTCATTAACACTAAGGAGGCTCCTGGAGAGCATTCAGATAGCCTGGCAAGCAACAGGCTGCTTAAAAGGATGCAGAGTGACAATACCTCCCCCCTAACCCAGGCATGATCTATTACAGCATGTCTGATGTGCCCCGCGGCTCTCAGACTCCAGAAGCGTCAGGTTGAAGAAAACAAATATGGCAGAAATAGCAGGAACACTGAGAGAGTGAATGAATAACTTCTCATCACTGGGGACCAGCACTCACATCTTGGCTTAGAAATGGAGAGAAGTGAGCTCCCACCAGCTCTTTGCCAGTACAGCTCACTGCAGAGTAAAGAAAAGGCAAAGAGTGTGGCAGAGAATCAGCGCACTGGAAATGACCTAGCTATGCAAATGAACATGAAGACACGCGAGTTTTAAACAAATCAGACTGCGGACAGCTTGAGATGCAGCACCTAGGACTCTGTGTGTGTGGTGTCCTTTGCCAAGTCGATGACCTTCTTTGTCTCACTGATATCAATTGCATGCAGGAACTAGGAAGACAGAACAAGAAAAGAACACGCTTTTGACTCTACTGAGAAATTACATTTCAAAAGAATGGTCTTTTGTTCCAGGTAGACACACACACACACTGAACTTCATATATAGCAGTGTTCTTTGAGATTCACAGCTTTCCTACATTCATAAAACATTTGCATGCTAGGAGACTTGACAATTTCCCAAAGATAAAAACTAGCATTTTAAGGGTCAATGATAAAAGAGTTTGTCCTTATTCTTCACCCAAACTCCAAAGATTCCTGCTGCTTTCTGGTTCAATATAGACAATCTACAACACTCATTCTTCAGACAACGCCATACAATGAAAAAGTAAAATTCCCAATGAGCAAGCACATGAACCTTCCTCAGGTTTTAGAAAGACACAGACATGATTCTAAGAACTGAGTCTCTTGGACTCCATCTCTCCAACCATTCAACTCAAAGACACCATCTGCTTAGAGGCTACTCTGCCAGATTAACTCAAAACTGGCGGCCGTGGAGTTAATTCTGACTCACAGCAGCCCTTCACCAGGTTTTCACGGCTGTAAATTGCAGTGGGAAGAGACTGTCCATGTTTCTCCCTTAGATGTGAAGTCTCTGGTTTAGCAGTGAAACTCACTATAGATTTCGTCACCAGGTTCCCTCTGTGCTGGATATTGATGAACAAAACATAGCCCCTGTCCTAGGGCTTATGATGTGAGGGAAAGAAATCTAGACTGAGTGTGATGAGTATTACAAAGAAGAGGGCAGGGAGTGCCTAACAAGGAGAAACTTAACCCTCTCCATTAAGGCTCTTGAGTTTCACTTCGCTGAAGTAAAATTTAAGCTGCTATATAAGCAGCAGTTAGTTAAAGTCAGTAATATTCCAGGAACAAGGCATAACACTTACCAAGAATCCACTGTCAGAAAACCTAAGAGTGGTACACTCGAGGAACTCAAAGAGGGGCCTGTTTGGCTGAAGGGAGGAGTGACAGGGAAAGGTGAGTGGAAGGTAAGGGTCAAAAAGCAGCAAATATTATTGGACGTAAGGATTTCTGACAAATTTTTGACCAGAGATTATTTAATCTTCATTTTAGACTAGATATTAAGTGTGATTTTAGTAGCATCTGACTTTTAACATGGCTTTTTAAGACTTAGATCCCCTGCTGTGGAAGTGACTGACTCGCCACTGCATTTGCATGGCTGTAAACTACCTGGAGGGAGACTGTACTGCTAATGGGTTTGAACCACCAGAGAGGGTGCCACCTTGGAGTTAGCAGCACAACCACCTACACACTGTTGCAACGTGTTTTCAAGTGGGAACTGACTCACAGCTGACCAACCTAGTGAGTTTTCAGAGGCTGCCCATCTCTCTTCTAAAGACATGAACTGCCTGTCTTTGGGCTGGCAGTACTACTTCTTACCACAAGGCCATCACAGTTCCCTTCCTTATGCACTACATCACAGTTAAAGATTATTTTAGATAAAAACAGAAGCATCTGACTTACAAAATGGTTTTCTAAAGGGAAGGGCCATTTGATCAGACAAAAAGTCTTGAGAGGCAAGTATTCCAGTAGTAACTGGACTCACATCTGACTGGAGTTCTCAGGAAGTCAGAAAAGCCTGTTTGCCACGCCTTTGAGGCTCAGTGCTGTGACAAGCAGGTTGCTCGGTTGCCCTTATGTTCATCCAGACACATGCATGTATAAGAAACACAGCAGACCTTACTCACAGACTGTAAATAAAATAATTTAGGAAGAAATCAGTCTCTATTCTAGGTTAAAAACAGAACACAGACCAGAATTGCCTTAAAAAGTTATTGCACTAAGTTCTGCCTAGACAGCTCTAAAAATATCTAGATAGCTCTACCCAGCATTTGCTCACTTTATTTACTAAATTTATAGTGCACTTTCATTTCTGTATAAACAAGGACTTCTTGAATAACCAGGTGGGGATTAGTTACATGCTCCAAGATGGCAATCTTGGGAAAGAACAACAACTATGGAAAAGTAAATCTCCAGAGGGAGGGAAAGTGTAGAAGGTATGAGCTTTCAATCTTGAAAGAGCACTAGAGATGTGCATGAAAAAGGTCAGGTGCTGTGCTGGAGGAGGCAGCTAGCCAAGACTGCAAAGATTGAGGCCAAATTAACTGGCCCTGAAAATTATAGGGCAAATGGCGGTTTTAGACAATAGCAAATAAAATCTGCCCAAGTGCATTTATTTTTCTTTAAGAAAAGGTGAGCACAGGCAAGTACAGTCATTTTGTCGTGAAAAGAATTTCTCAGCTCTAATTACTCCCGATAGCTGTAATTTACAAGTTTTTGGTGGGTAGAAATCGTTAAGATTCACACATTTTCAGACCAACAGCTGTCACTATTAGTGAGCAAATTGCAAAGTCTTCTGCATGGTGGCAGTTAGTTATGTGGGGCATAATCTGGGGACAAACCAGAAGTGCAAAGATACCAGCAATAGCAGGAGGCCCCTAGGACTTCTGCCCGTGTGGGGCTGGCCATGGGGCAAACTATCAAGAAGGAAAAATTACTACTATCATCACAGAATTACTTTAACTTGAGTTTTCTCCTTCACAGGAAGAAGAGAATGATACATACCGTACTAAGAAGGACACCTGTTTTGGAATGCGAAAATTCCTGAAACACTGCTGTTCGTTCCTACAAAGACACACACACACACACACACAAAGGTTCTTTTAATTCAGAGAGAAAATTCAGTCTAACAGGCTTTCCTATAAGTGGTCTAAACTACCAACTTTAATTTTTATCTTCTTTCCCAAAAGCTAATAAAGATCAGAAAATTATAAAAATGAAACATTTTAATTATAGAATTCAGGTCAAAGGAAAAAAATAATTAAAGCACAGCACCACTTGATGTTTCTGAGTCTCCTTTCAATGAACAATATATCAAACACATGGCTGTACTTTGTGTATGTGTTCAAAAAATGACATCATACTATTTAAAGAATTAACATGCTTTTCTCACATCATAATAATGTGAGAATCTTCTCACACCAATAACTAACTAGCACATTATCTCTGGTAGCTATGTACTATTCAGTTGAGTGGCTGTATCACCATTTATATGTCAATGACCTATTATTGGCAATTGAAATGGTCTTCAGAATTTTACTACTACAAACAGTGCTATGATAAATGTATTTGCAGAGAAATCATTATATACATTCCTAAATTCCTTCCTGATTATTCCTCCTTGGGTAAATTCTTAAAAGCAGACTTGGCTGGATCAAAGAGTACGTATGCAGACTTATAAGGCTTCTTGCACAAACTTACAAAGTTTTCTAATTTTTTTTCCAATGAAATTTTTTATTTTAAATGTGATTTTTAACAAAAGCTTACACATTTTATTTCACAGAATTCCAAAGAGTTGAGACTTGATTATATTTATTGGTCAGCAGCAAATAAAAAGAAAACAAAGTCAAATTACCAAAAACTTATAAAAAATAAAAAGTGCAAAGGCTCTCCTTCTCCTGCAGCTCAATGATTAAGCTGTTTCAGTGTACCTTGCTTCTGTTTTTCACATGCATGCCATTTTGTCACATCAATGGAACCCCAAGGTAATAAAGACAAAAATAACCACCAGTCACTGCTTATTTAACATGTATCAGATAATGGTCTGAAGCCCCTTCCTTGTACTTATCTAATTCTTATAACATCCTATGGGTAGGTACTATCATCATCCCCATTTTCCAGCTGAGGAAACTGTGACATCAAGAGATTAAGTACCTTGCTAAGGAAACATAGTTATTAAAGGGGTGCATTGACATTGGAAACTAGGGCACTGTGTGCCAGAGCTGGTGCTCATCCCTTTAAAAAACACAACAGCATCTGCCACTATGAGGAATCAAAGTATTCCTGAAAATAGAGAAACCAACAAGGGCATGCAACATTTGCTGAGCAGTAACCACAAACCAAGTCTCGTGTATGTGCTTTATCCAAATTAACCCGCTGAATATCTACAATCACCTATGAAATACTGTAGTTGCCTTCTCTTTAGCGATCTGAGAACTGAAACACAGAGTGATTAAATACTTAACTAAAGTTACACAGTCAGGAAATGGCATAGCCAGAACTAAAACCCAAGCAGTCTTACCCCTAAAGCTCAGTTGTAAACACCACCTTAGACACGTGCCCTGTTATACTGTGACAGAGTGGGATTCCTGTAGCTAAAGTAAAACTAATTTAACTGGAGAATCTTCCTATGATCCATTCAGATTCCTAGATTCTTCAGAGTCCTTATCTAGCTCCTTCATTATTTATAGACGACCTACCTTTCACAATGCCTATGGTGAAAAGACCTGAAAACGAATAAATAGAAGGAATAACAGAATAAAATTAACAAGAAATTCTGTATAATCCAGAGCTGAAGAAGCTGTGCCTGCCCTTGAGTGACCTTGGGCAAGTGTCCTTTTCTGAGTTTCCATTTTCTTAGTTATTAAAATAAGAAAAAAATTTTAAAAAAGAGAGGATGGACTTGAGGGTTTTTAATGTTCTCTTTCAGATCTAAAAATTCCGAGTTTTAAACTCATTCTGGTCAGTGTATGTTTAAGCACTTACTTCAATTTCTGATTTTCTTTCATCCTAATTTTCTAAGCTTGCTGATAACCTCTCTTCTAGGACAAGATGGCTCCTATTTGCAAACCCGGCTCCTCCTTTCTTTCACAATTCCTGTGAGGACACCAAGCCACATACTCTGCCCTGACTCTAAATGGATGGTCTAGTTAAGAGTAGTGGACTGAGAGTTATGCAGTGAAGTACCTAAAATACTAAAATATTATACCTTACATGAACAAAAATCTTACTTTGTGCCAAGTCAGAACTGAAGCCCTGAAGCCTCTTGGTACACAGTACCCTCTCCCAACCCAAAATGTAAGAGCGAAAGCTCTGTATCTTGTTGACAATGACAGCAGTCATGCTCAGCAGTACCATATGGGATCCACAATTTAGCTCCATTAATGCTCTTAATTTGAAGACATCAAGCCCTAATTACACACTGGGTACTAAAAAGGCAAAACCCTTCCCTGGTGCCAGCTACTTAGTGGTACTCTGTTGCCTTAACAGCTGGTTGAGGTAGACTCAGGCCAAGCTGGGCCTGTGAGCGCTCTCAGGTGGAAGAGGCCAGCAAGTGGGGATGAGGCTCAGCTCCCAACGAAAAAAACCAAGTGGGGAACAATAGATACACCTCTTGCCCATATCAGTGCAGCTATGTGATCCATTTTTAGTAACAGCAGGTTGTCCATTTTATGTTATTTTCTCTGAAGCCCGGTGAATTTTCGAGGGACACACATTACACTGACCCTGGAGAGTAAGTTTAACAAGTCTGGGCCTTCGTTCCCTTTTCCACTCCGAAGGCTACTTCACCACATGGTGAGAGGCAGTAGTGCTCACCTCCTGTTCCATGTTGCCATGCAGCCGTAGGAATTTTAATCGCATGGAGGCAGATGGTAACTGCCCTGATGCTGGGGCCCCCGAGCTGCTCAGCAGGGTCTGGAGGAAGAGGTTGTAGTGGAACTCCACCAGCTCACAACTTGAGAAAAAGATGATCATCTTCTGGTCTTTTTCAAACTACAGCAACATAAAGAAAGGGAACACACACAAATACAACTGTTAAAAGCTAGTAAGTTTTTAAGATTAGTGATAATACAAAGAGTATCTCTAAAATATGTAGTAACATTGGCCTTGATTTGGAAACAGAAATGACCAGCGACTCTAATTTTAAAATAAAAACATAACACAACAAAAGACATCTATGTGTCACTCAACAAAGAATGTAGGAAAATGACTTCGCTATAACCTTGAACAGGTTTTTCTTATTTGTAGGATATAAATATACTTTAGAATGAGGGTCTTCATTTGTTCTGTTCCTCCCACTGGTTCAGGACTCACCACATACAGCACTACTCAGTGGGGCTCAGCAGACATGACAAATCTTAAGGCTACATTCCTAAGTCTTTCTACTGACTATTCTTCCATATACCAGAGGAAATGATCAAAAGAAGCTACTAAATAAATACAAAAATTTTATGTTGTTGTTGTCACTGAGTTGAGTATGACCCATAGTGACTCTACTACAACAGATCTGAACCCTGTCCTATCCTTTGCCATCCTTACATTTCCTGACACATTAGAGAAAATTAAATAAGTCCATGACAACCAGAATATCATCATGAATTTAGTCTATCTGAATTTCAAAATCATCTTAAGAATAGGTTTGAAACATTGAACACCAATGATTATAGACGACATGAGCTATGGGATGATATCAAGGAATCTATCATCCATGAAGAAAGCAAAAGGTTATTACAAAGACAGTGGAGAAAGAAAAAAACTGAAATGGATTCTCAGAAGAGACTAAAAATTACATGAAAGCATCAAGAAACCAAAACAAAGGGAAAACATGCCAAAGTAAAAGAGCTGAACAGAAGATTTCAAAGGGCGGCTAGGGAGGACAAAGCAAAGTATTATAAGGGAATGTGCAGAGAACTGGAATTGGAGAACAAAAATGGAAGAACTCATTCTGCATCTGTCAACCTGAAAGAACAAAAAAAAATTTAAGCCTCGAGTTGCAGTACTGAAAGATGCTATGGTCAATATATTGAATGACCCAGAAAACATCAAAAGAAGATGGAGGGAATACCTAGAATTACTGTACCAAAAAGAACTGACTGACACTGAAAAATTTCAGAAAGTACCATATGAGCAAGAGCCAATGGTAATGAAGGACGAAGTGGAAGCTGAATTGAAGGCTCTGGCAAAAAATAAGGCCCCAGAAATAGGATGGCATACCAACTGATTTATTTCAATTAACAGAGACAGCCCTGGATGTTCTTACTAGTTTATGCCAGAAAACTTGGAGGACGGCTGTCTGGCTAATGGATTGGAAGAGGTCCGTATTTGTTCCTATTCCCAAGAAAGGAGATCTAACAAAACTGGAAGCTTTAAAACAGTATATCACATGCAAGGAAAATACTGATGAAGATCATTAAAAAACGGCTAGAATGAACTGCCAGATTATCAAGCAGGACTTAGAAGAGGCCATGATACCACGGATATCATTGCTGATGTCAGATGGATCCTGGCTGAAAGTCAAGACTATAAGAATGTCTGTTTATGCTTTATTGACTATGCAAAGGTACTTGACTGTTTGGATCATAACACGTTATAGCTAACGTTGAGAAGAATGAGAATTCCAGAGAACTTAATTGTGCTCATATGAAACTTAGACCAGGAGGCTGTTGTGTGAACAGAACAAAGGAACACTACATACTTTAAAATTAATAAGGGTTGTATTTGCTCTATTCAGTCTGTATGCTGAGTAAATTATTTGAGAAGCTGGACTCTATGAAGAGAAATGTGGCATCAAATTCATCAATAACCTGTGTAATTCAGATGACACAATCTTGCTTGCTGAAAGTGAGAACTTGAAGACTTGTTGCCGAAGATCAAATACTATGATCCTTTTAAAAAACATGAATGCAAGTTCTTATATTTATCTGACACCCAACATATTTTTATCACCTATAATGTTGTAATATTAATCTCAGCAAATTCATTTATAGCAAATTTCAAGGTGACTATAATGGTTATGCATGACTTCTGATTGTATATTATAATCCCAGAACCACTGAAAGGGTATCTTTTTTTTTTTCTTTCTTGTGTTTAAACTAACCACTGTTGGTACCTGATATAAATAAAACCAGTCTTTCTTCATGACTCAAGACAGGTTTAGTCCACAGTTGTACCTTGCATTTCTGAAGAATGAAGGCTGCTAGGCAGACAAGCCTCAGTTTGCTGGGAACGATTGTCACATGCTGGTCAAGACTCTCTGGTATCGCGAAGCTGTCCGACTTATCACTAGTTTGTGGATGAGAAACTTCCTGTGCTGCTTTGTCCTTCACATTGCACTGATCATGGCTCTCATCCAGGACAGAAATACTGACCGGATTGTGCAAACTGATATTAGCTAGCCAAGTTACACCTGTGATGGAATTAAAAAGGATAAACACAATGTGAAACTGGTCACACAGGCATGCCGCCACACACTCAGGTGTACGAAGAAACTCTCAGAAGCACTCACATGGCAGCACTGAACTGTCCTATTATTCATCTGGTATGGCAGACTCTCTGGTTTTTTTGTACTACCTAACAATTTATCCACACTTTTATCCAGTATTTTCTAAACCCTCGTTGACGGGAAATCAACTCAAAAGGACAGTAACAGAGCTTGACCTATTACCTTTCCTGAAAGAATTCTAGATCAAGTAAGCTGTAAAAATTTGGGATTAAAAATATTCATAGGCTTCTACCATAGTTTTCAGAACTTTTACTGCATTAATGTGCTCCACGAATCTGTAAGATTTCCTCAAATGTCTTAAAGTCTTCTTTTTATACATTCTCTCTCAAAATAAATGTAACTTACAACTTTGAGAATTGCTGGTGCATGATGATATAATGGCATTTTGCATTTGCATATAATACTGTGTCCTAGCAAACCAAAGAGAACACATGAACATAAATACGGTTTTATGACTGGTCTAATGCACTGACTATATAGGTGATTCTGGTAGACTGTGATCCAGTCTTCCCATGCCTTGTATTGTTGCTGTGTGCTCTCAAGTTGGAACCAAACTAGAGCTGACCCTCTAGTAGGTTTGCACAGGCAGTAAAGCACATGAGAAGAGACTGCCCATTTTCATCCTGCTTCCATGACTTAGTGGTCCCATTTATAAAAGAGAGCTAAAAATATCTATTTTGGGATGATTGAAGACAGAAATGAGTTGAAAAGTTTTCTTTTTTTCTTTCTTTAAGAGAAAGTAGACCCATCAACAAACGAATGGATAGAGAATCTGTGGTATATTCACACAATGGAATACTACGCTGCATTGAAAAACAAAGAACTCATGCAATATTATTAAAAATGGGTGACCCTGGAGGACACTACGCTGAGTGAAGTATCTCAGTCACAAAAGGACAAATACTGCATGGTACACTGTTATAGAATGGGACTGACATCAGGGTTGGGGTAAGACTGAGAAAAACTGGATAAATTATGTATACTGCATTGAAACAGATGAGGGAGAGAATAATTTAAAAGAGATCTATGATAGGGTATTATGGTTACTACAAGTCCAGAATTAAGGTTGCAAAGTGGAGTGTACTTGGGGTGGTGGGAGGGGTGCAGGGGGATTGTATACCAAAGAAAGAATTCTTCTTTTACTTTTCAAAGAGAGGAGTGAACTGGTGGGGGAGGAGGGGAGGAGAGAGGGCTGGGCAGGGAGAAAAGTGCAACAATGGATGAATGGAAATCTAAAATCTCTGTAAATGTTCATTAAAATTAATAAAATAAAATAAAAAAAGAGAAAGTAGAGTGATTACACTATAAAATGTACTAGAATAAGATAGTATCAACTTCAGAATAAAGGAGAATTCTTCGTGGGTTGCAACCAATGAACTACGAGGTCAGTAGAGGCCAGTTGTGTTTATTTCTCTACACCAACAAGTGCACCATTAACACTCTCCTGAGCCAGAACTGACTTGATGGCAGTAGTTCCTGTTTCCTGAGATGATTCTTAGTGCCCTGAGGAATACAGCAGAGTCTTGGATGACTGGAAAAGAGGCTAGGAATGCAAGATGCATAGTTTGAAAGAATATATAAAAAATGTTGCCCTGGGCAAGCTCTGGTGGCCTAGTGGCAGGAAACTGCACTGCAATCCCAGAGGTGCGCAGTTCAAATCCACCAGATGCTCTGCTGAAGAAGGAGGAACAATCACCTCCTGTACCAGTCAGATCCAATTTGATGGTACACACATAAAAAGAATAAATAAATAAATAAAAATTATTAAAAAAAAAAGTTGCCCTGGACACTTTGCTCGCCATTCTCTATACTCAGAATCACAGCTGTCAAACAATGTAGCTTGTGACAAAGTCCTACTTCTTCCTCACAAAGAAGTCCCTATCACTTTTCTCAACCCACCTTCAGTGAGTGTTGCTGACAGCAAGACATTCTGTCGTTTCTCACATTCTGCATTTATAGCATTGAGTATCACTGTGACGTCCTTTTCAAAACCCAAATCCAAGATTCTGTGGTTTCAAGAGAAGGAATTTTAATTTATGAGAGGAATTAAATGTGATATTAAGGGGTTAGAAAAGTTGAAATAAAGACAATGGAAACAGTCTTGTTCTTCAAATTTCCAAACTTCGACAAGTCTCACCTGTCTGCTTCATCCAAAATCAGCCATTGTAGCCGACTGAAATGAATGTTCTTTGTAGATTTTATATGATCTACCAGACGTCCAGGAGTTGAGATAAGGATATTTATTCCTTTGCGGAGTCTATTTAAAATTATACATTATAAAAGAAAGCAAATCAAATACAGTTGCATCAGTAAAAAACATAAGAAAAAGATATGGGAGAAGATTCATGTATAGCACAAACATGTCACTGCTTACAATCATTACAAAACATAAGAACAAATAGATAAAAAGATATATTTGTTTTAAAATTTATACGTTAAAAACATATTTTAGCAAGTCCTCTGTAGTTTCCCTTAATCAAATAATATTAAGATCTGAAATAATATAAAAATCACAAGTTTTAACAATGTGAAAGAAACCATAATTATATAACACAACACTCTTCCTAGTTATTTTGATTCCTTTCACAGTTTTGAGATTAATCATACAATTATGTTCCTAAGTATATAACCTAATTCTTTGTCTGGCTCAAGCTATGGAATCTTGAGTTGCTTCACATGTATTTGAAAGTTGGACAATGAATAAAGAAGTTTGAAGTTCTGACACCTTTAAACCATGATGTTCCTAAATCTATCTTGGAAGAAGTACAAGCAGGCTGCTCCTTAGAGGCAAGGATGGTGAAACTTTGTTTTAAGTACTTTGAGTATATTATGATCAGGAGCGGCCAGTCTTTGTAAACAGACATCAGGCTTAGAAAAGTAGATGTTCAGTGAAAGAAAGACTCAATGAAGTGGACTGATGTAATGTCTGCAACAATGGGCTTAAGTGTGCTAGAGACTGTGGACAGCCAGGATTAGATATGGTTTCAATCTGAGATTCACAGGGTCACTATAAATTGGAGTCGACTTGACATCACCAAACAACAATAGCAGCATGCTCATTCTCTGATCCACAGATCCTTTCTAGAACATTCTAGACAGATGATCAATCATCCAGCTGGTTCTTGAAGGTTTCTATGTCAGAAAACCTCCTATCATCCAGGCTGGTGTGCTCTATTTACTAGAACATTTCTTCTTACATGAAACTCTTTTTGTAACTTGCATAATGTTCACAAATGACTGCTTTCCACTGATTCTATTGTATCCTTACACATGCCACTAATTAGTGCAGCCTGAGAAAAGGGCTTCTCAAAGTTTCAAAGAAAAGAAGTATTATTAAATGGGAAGGGCACGACAGACAGGCTTGGGAGAACAAAACTCTTCCCACCTGGCCTTTTCTGATTTTCTCTTCTCTCCACCCATCAACACTCCAGGTACAATCCAGGTAAATGGCTACAAAAGGCAACAGAAAATGTCAACGTAAAGCCCCTTTACTGAAAACAGTGGGACAAATTACAAAGCATTTTTCCTTAAATAAGAGATGATCCAGGCTTCACAATGCATGAGATTTATTGTGCAGACACACTTTCAGGTTACTATCAGAAGAAACTTAAATTACATCTATACAACTTTTACCACTGAACTATTTACAACAGAAGAATATGACTTTTATTTTTTAAATAAAATTAGCTTCTTTGTCTTTCACCACATAGTCTGCATTAAAAACTTAATTTACCAAATCTATTCCACTCTTTATTGGTTAAGACAAATGTCAAAGAGAACTCTTTTCCACTCTACCTTTTGAAAGCAGAAAGTAGATCAGTGTTAAATCTAATTTGGTGACCTGGCAGATTCTGATTTTCAAACTTTCATTCTTAAATCCTACTTGTGGCTTTTAAAATGGCTTTCTGCTGTATCACTTTGTCCTGTAACTATGTCTTTTGCTTGAGGCTTATTGATGGCTATGATTGGTAGTACCTGGAAGCACTAGTAATCTAGCTAAGCTAGCTATCCATCATTAGCAGGGTTGACAGTACTGCTGCTCTACTATTCATTACCACAGAGATGGTCCCAATTTACTGCAATCTTGCATTGGATTTCCAAGGATGTAAACTGCATTGGGAGGAAAACACTCATCTTTTTCCCACAGAGCCACTGGGGGATCTGAACTGTCAGCGATGCAGTCTTTGGGTCAGCTGTACAAATGGCTCTGACTATGACACTAGAGCGCCTTCAGTAAGGTTTAGATTAATAAGACATTAAAAACTTGTGCTGGACAACTCTATTAGAACCATTTTCCCAGCAGCATCTGCTCACTTCATATCTCTGTATAACATTTTAACATTCTTGGAATATTTCAAACTTTTCATTAATAAAATTATACACCAAATAGACTACCCAAAATCTACTGCTCTCTAGACAGTGTGAGTCTAGCTCATGGAGACCTTCCATTGGGTTCCCAAGTGTGTAAATCTCTATTGATGACGGTTTCATCTTTCTCTGCGGAGCAGCTGATGGAGTAGGACTTAAGACCTTTGCAGTTAGCACCCCAACAACACATAATAAACCCTGCCATCAGGATCTAACAGAGTATCTAACTCATTGCCATCAAATATATTCTGCCTCACAGTAATGTTCCAAAAGGGTTTTGAGGCTGTACATCTTTACAGGAAGAAATTGCCTATTTTTCTCCCACAGAGCATTTAGTGGACTCAAATCACTGATCTTTCAGTTAGCAGAACAATATGTAACACACAACACCAACAGAGCCCCTTTTGATAGGCTGCTGAATAATGTAAACATAACATTTAAATGCACTGAGGACCCAGAAGATCATCTGACTTGCTTTATTGCAGAGGTCTGGAACCTAATCCAGAGTATTGCTGGGATGTGCCTTTATTCCTCCTTCCTGAAAATGTCAGAATTAAAAATATAACTTAACTCATGACTTATCTCACCTTAAGCAGTTTCTGGACAGTGTCAAAGCTCTGTAAAGCTAACTGTAAAAGATAATAAAAGTTAAGATATCATGAGTAATTGTGTTTTACAAAGACAACATGAAGTGATTACAAGTCAAATTGAGACCTTAAAAACATTATGGCG